GGTGCAAGAGAGGAGTGCAAGTCGAGAAGGGAGTTTGGATAGTTAGGACCCGGAGGGGATTTAACTTTGTGGCGATAGAGGAGGAAAGACTCGCTCGGGCAGGCGAGCTTTCGAGGTCGAGTTATCCGGTGATCACAAGGGCCCCGAGCTTTGTGCCAGAGAGGGCATGGTTAGGATTGTAGAGACAACTAGCGACGGTAGAATCCTGATCGAGAAGGTCGACCTTCACAAGGAGAGAGAGTGCTTCAGTGTTTCCTTAGACCACCGCACTGAGAGATATTTGGCCGGGTGCAAGAGAGGAGTGAAACTCGAGAAGGGAGTTTTTCTCTGGGCACGGTTCGCGGTAGGAATTTGGGAAGGAGATCGGTGGACCAGGAATAAACCTAGGAACGAGGGAAAGGCCCGACGAGCGACGGTTTGTGCCGAAGGCACAATCTACTTAAGTCGGGAGGTCTGGGTAGAGTACGTCACCCACTGGGCATTAGGGTGGTATCAGGCGGACCATTGAGAGATACGCTTGGGGCCTATTCTAAAGCGGATCTTTGAGGAGGTACCCCTTCGGCACAACCTGCCGTTCCACATGCGAGTGACTTGTGCTCGGGACGAGGAGTACCCTCGTGCTACGGGTTGCGTCCAAGCCATTTTTTCGTCTTACGTCTTCGGGAGGGTGTGTGGAAAGGAGGCCGTATACGAGAAGGTCGTAAAATCGGTAAGGCTGGAGAAAAGGAGGGGGCTATCCTTTAGTTCGCTTCATTGGTTCTACTCCTATTGTGTGGACAACCCGGTGCCATACGGAGTTAGGGCCGACCGAATCCGAGAAAGGATCTCGCAGGAATCAGAGCGAGACCGTGAGGGCGGGAGAGACTAACGTTACCAAAGGGTATTTGGAGTCCGCCGAAAGGTAGGGTAGCATGGATGGTCCTTTTTGACAAAGACCTCGGTAGGTCTGTCGAATCTCCCTTAGAGGAGCGAGAAGTGTATAGCTTGGTCCGAGCGCCGGAGGGATCCCTGATTGGAGGAGGTTGGAAGGTAAAGAAATCACGGTCGGGGAAATTTCGTGTGGATAGAGTCGGAAGAAGTAAAAAGGGAAACAACTGAGGTGCATCTCAAAATCACCGCAATAATCTTCGTCGAGCCTGGCGCTTGGGCAAAGGTTGTCATACCCCTGGTCTTGGACCAAGGGGGTGGGCTGAAGCTATTGATCCACGAAGCAAGAGAAGTGAGGAGGAGGTGGATAGTTAGGACCCGGAGGGGATTTAACTTTGTGGCGATAGAGGAGGAAAGACTCGCTTGGGCAGACGAGCTCCCGAGGTCGAGTTATCCGGTGATCACAAGGGCCCCAAGCTTTTTGTTCTTGAGCACAAAGGAGGAAAGGCTGTCTCTTATACACATCTAGATGTGTATAAGAGACCTTTGTGGCGATAGAGGAGGAAAGACTCGCTCGGGCAGACGAGCTCCCGAGGTCGAGTTATCCGGTGATCACAAGGGCCCCAAGCTTTTTGTTCTTGAGCACAAAGGAGGAAAGGTTAGTCAAGCTCTTGGAGAGAGGAAGAGGATTAGGTCTACCATTTAGGGCCCTGTGGGTACTGTACACTCACTGTATCGACCAGAGGATCCCTCCGCCAGGGGAACTTTGGGGCATTTGTAGGAATGGAGGGAACATTTTTGTCACGGTAAAAAGCATAATAAACAGGGTAGGACTGTTTATAACTCGCTTGGTAAGGTGGGTGTGCAGAAGTATGTCGCTTTGCCATTGTTCACCAGTACCAATAGGAGGGAACTGGAGGCGGTAGAATCGGCACTTATTAAGCACTGGTCACCGTCTCTGAACGTGCGTTCGGTGAAATCGGGGCAGACGACTAAGAAGTCAAAGCATCGGCCAGGAAAGAGAGAGAGAAAGAGACGGAACGTGACAAGGGGGGATGGAGGGAGAGTGGACCGTGCGGAGGAGGGGAAATTACTTGAGCTGCGAGTAAAAGGAACGGAGAGAAATTCAGTACTGATCGTCGAGTTGTTCAGAAGTCTGATGAAACGGAAGGGAGAATTCACGATAGTGAGTAGTGGGGGGAAGACATGGGCCGATGGATGGAAACTAGTGAGGAGACTTTTCGACGAATCTCGGGTAAAGTACAGACGTGGAACCAGACCGTTAAGAAGATGTAAATCCTTGTTCGAAACCAATGGGGAGATCGTGCTTCAGAAGATCACTGAAGCCTCTCCGTCTCTGATAGCACTTAAGGACGACATGGTAAAGATGTTCAAAAATCGTCGAAAGCAGAAGAAGCTATACGCGAAGGATGTGACGGAACTAGTTAAGTACTATAGTGCAGTGAAGACCTTTTCTACGAAGCGTAGTAGAACGCAGGCACGGCGAATGATCTCGAGAGTCGTACGGAATAAGTTTGGGATTAATGTGAGAGCTCGAATTATTGTAAAGACCGAGTACGATGAGAGGATTAAAAAGAGTGAGGTAATGAGGGTGGTGAGGAAGAAAGTGGGTAGTTGGAGTATGGAGGGAGCTCTGAAGGAGATGGTAAAGCGTAGGGCACGGGTTGTTTGGAAGAAGAGCCCCAGTGTGGGGGATGTTCTGCACAACCATCGACGTTACTCGTCGGCTCGTGCTTCCAGCTGTATTTGTGCTGGTTTGCCCTACCCCATGAAGGATGGGCACGTGCAATTTCGGATGAGCGAACTTGAGAATGTCCCGAGTACGAGGACCGACACAGGGATGAACTGTTGAGGAAGGAATTTACCGATGCGTTTCGTTCGTGGGGCGTAGGTATGAAGTTGCCATGGGATGAACTAGCGTGTACGAAAGAAGATCTCCAGTCATGCTTGGTGAAGCGCAGGGACCTGGAGAAGGAAGACGGTTTGGAGGAGTTGTTGGCACTTAGAACGAAGCTGGATGGCTTGGTGTGTGTTCCACTGGATAGGAATCCAGGGGACACATTGGTGTTATGCCCGAAAGTATATGAGAAGGGCATGGAAGACATCTTTGTGTTGAGTGATGGTTATTGACTGTGTTTGGAGGACGAGGAACAGGTACTTGGTTCGACAAAATCGGAGTACGAGAGGAGGGGACTAACGACTCATGGGAAGTGGGATGACAAGGGCAAAGTGGGGAGGGTATATGCAATGCCTAAGCACAAAGATACTGACAAGTATCGTCCGATCTGTCCCACCTTCAATGACCCGACAGTCAAAGCCTGTAAACTGGTGGCAAAAGGGATCAATAGATTGTTGTTTGCATTGCCAGAATCCGGATATTTAAATTTAAGATTGGTATCATGTATGAAGGATTGAGTGAAACAGCTGAACACTAGACTAGGAAGGAGCAGGAGCAACGTTGGGATACCGGGGGCGTCTTTTGACATAAAAGATATGTTCAGTCGCCTCCCGCATGCGACGATCCAAGTTGCAAGAGTGTTCTCTCCGTCAAACCTATGTAGGCTTGTTTATACCATGGCGATATTAGGACGTACACACAACTTTTTGGCTCCGTCAAATCAAAGGTTCCTCTATCCAATTCATCCGTCCAGTAACTCACAAACTTTTCGCCCCATTTTACCTTACCCGTCAGAATCAATCCAATGGTCACCGCCCTAAATTCCTTCTCCTTGGTTTTGCACTTACCCTGCTGCAACTGTCGATGAAAACTAAGCTCGTTTGCTCTAGTCAGAAAGTCGTCACGACGACCAACTCCTCACTCCGAGTCATCCGTGAATGATTCATCCGATTCAGAGCTCTCAGGTCTGGCCTCCTCCTTGATAGCAACTCCCTTGTTCATCCTTGTACTCACTCGTGGCGTCTGAGGCAGCGGAATATTTGCAGGGTCATACGCAACAGTCGACCGACGAGTGATCAAGCGCTTGATTGCCAACTCTCGTTTTCCATAGATCCCTTCTCGCGACGGCACGCCTCCTTCAGTTCTTCGATAGTAAGCGCATCGTAAAACTCTTGGCAGTCCTGCTCAAATTTATCCCTCCCTCCTGGTCCGCAGGCTGCCATGATATGTTTCAAAGATAGATCAATCTTTACCAGAGTGCTTGTTGTCGAGGACGCCAAAGCTGGCTCTCCTTGAATTGCTTCGATCCTCGCCTTTGATTCCTCGAAAAGCCTTGTGTTCGTTCGTTTCTCTGGAGTGGTCATCGGTGGGCTATTCCCCACTTGTATTTCCGGACCTCGTTTGCGCTGCTCCAACAGGTTTAATTTCGCTGCCTGCCGTCGCAGCGCCAGCAACTCTTCGTCTTCAATCTCCTCCATGCCTAGCGTCCTTAGTGCAATAATTCTCCGAAGACGTTCTTTCTCCTCGCTATTCGCGTCCATCTTGCATGCCTTCTTACCCAGTTTCTTGCCTTTATACTCATACCGTTCCACCTCTTCTTCCCGATCTTTTCTCATTTTCCCGCGGATGATCCGCATCAACCGTGCATCTCGCTCCTCCTCATGCTGAAGTCTCTGCTCTTCTCTCAATGCTTTCCTCATTTCCTTCGCCCGACGCGCCTTATCCTCCAACCTTTGCCTTTCCGCTTCCCTATCGCGTTCAAGCCTTTCCCTTCTCTCTTCGGCCATCTGCACAAAATACTCCCTCATTAGGGACTCAGTATTCTCTGTGTTACGTTCACTCTCGCTATCCGCCGAATGACTCCGACGCAGACCCAAATTCTCGCTATTAGTATTAGTCCTGACCGTTTTAATCTATCTGTCGGAATTCCCGAAGGAACGAAAGTCCTTCCTTGCACTCTCGCTCTCCAATACTCGGCACAATCTCGAATAAAGTGTCCACTTTCTCCGCATTTGTAACATTTTCGCCCCTCTGGTGGTGCCGAACCACCCCCATTGTTTCCCCTCCTTGATTCTCCTTCCTTGCTCATTTTGACTTTATCACCACACGACTCCCTATCTCTGGTCAACTCACCTTCGTCAACTTCCAGACCAATCTCCTCAGGCTATCTCACGCCGCCTTATATAAGTCGCCACCATCTCTAGGTACAATCTCCTAGCTGGTTACGATCCTAGATACTAGGATGATGAAAATGATTGCACACCAAGCACGCTATCGCACGCAAAACACACAGTAAACAGCATACGGACAAAGCCAACAACGCTGTATAGAGTCGTCATTAATCATCCAATTCGAAATTTTGAGTCACGTTAACCAGTAAAGAATTAACCGTGTCACCATGAAAAGCAATAGATGAGAGAAGTGATGAAGACAGACAGGACACCACCACCATTCCACGACTCCCGCAGTTGTCTGCGTAAGTCCATCCGCCCACAATGCATATCTCTCCCAGTCCTGCCGGCGGCAATCAGGCGAAAGGGAACAACTACTTGAGGGCCCTACTATTTAACCGCCGTCAATAGAATAGTCCGGTCCATTGTCAGAAGGCACTACTGAGATGGAACCGGGTTCAAAACCTGCGATACCAAGGTCCCGTTCGGGTACTATCCAAACAGGGACAGGTCCCGAATTCGGGTTCAAGGTACGGGAAATCCAAAATTCCAAACATATACGAAAATGTCCCATGGCCACAATACCTCTGTACCCCAGAGCTACCTGGTCATGACAAATACCTGACAGGACCAGTACCCCACGCTACGCATCAAACTGAAAAGGGTAGACCCTGGTCCAAACATCTATTTTCAGGTGGAGTCGAGATCTATTTCGCATTTAAAATTATTTTTTTTAATTTATTCAATATAATTCATAAAAATATTACAACAAAATTAACAAGCACTTCAATTTTAAGGTTTTTTCACTCATTCTCATAAGAGCAAAAAATCACTTAAATTTGAGTGTTTTTCCTTGACCCACACATGGTTGAGTGGCAAAAATTGAAAATGCGTAGAACCAGCGCGACAACTATTTCGCGGTTCTTTAAGATTTTTTTTAAGTTTTTCTGATATTTTTTCTTGAAAGATCATCACCTAATCTACAGATTCTCAAATTTTCATATTTAATGCAAACTCGTATGAGCACACAAAGTCATTAAAGTTACCTCTTCCAAATTGTGGAATTGGACCCACCGGTATCCCTTTGTGTAGGAGCCTAGCGGAAAGCAACGTTCACGCGCGTCGGCTTCAGACCCGGCCTCAATGCCGGCCCGCCTCCCCTTTTCTTTTTGGGGTCCGCTTCCACCTGAGGACCGGTCCTTCCTTTCTCCAAAAGTTTCGGTTTTACAAAAATAGTTGTAGGTCGTTTGGAATATCTTGAAGGACCGGTCCCAAAAAAAAGTCCACCCCCTAAGAAACCCACATACATCTTAGTCGTCGCCCACCGAAAATACGACACCTTGACACAGACATTGAAACCCACTATACCACATCCTTAGGGCTGCGAATTTTGTGCCCTAAACGCTAGGCCAAAGGGGCAAACATGTCGTTACCTCTCTCCACCGAGAGAGGTAACCTCCCTTTACCGAAGAGAGGTAGAAAGCTATGCTTGCAAGGCTCCCATGCATAGCCTTAGGAATAGTGGTAGGTAGGTAGTGAAAGAAAGATATGTTCGATGACATGGCAAAACGCTAGTTAAAAATATATGACATTGGAGAAAAATATATGTCTGTGACCCAATAAGGAGAAGGCAACTTAAGAAAAAAATGGATGGTAGATTATCAATGACTTATTTTCCCTCGCATCCCTTTCACACCACAGCTTGTCCGACGACTACTGCGGAAAAAACAAGAATTGTTCATCCTTAGAAATTAGGAGGAAAAAAAGGACAACTTAGGGCTTACTCACACCACCATTTGTATCTGATAGGATTTGCGACAACACTTGCATGCATTTGGCTTCAATTTCGTCCAGAAAGAAGTGAAAAAGTGTTAGTGCAAGTATGCCCTTACTCGGAATTAGACCCTCTCGTCTCTTTCACACCATAACTTGTCCGACGACTGTTGGGAAGAAACCAAGAATTGTTCATTTTTATAAATTAGGAGGAAACAAAACCCACTTAGGGCATACACATACTACCATTTGTATCTGACAAGATTTACGATAACACTTGCATGCATTTGGCCGCCACTTCGTCCAGAAAGAAGTAAAAAAGTGCTAGTGTGAGTATGCCCTTCATCAGAATCAACAGTCCCAAGCAGTCCTTTGTGACATCCATTAAAAATAAAACCATACACATCATGGCCTCTTCGGATGGATGACACACGTGAATAGAGAAATGGTAAAAAAAAAAAAAAAAGCAGCCCCAAGCACACATGTAGCACAAAAAGAAAAGAGGGGGCAAAAAAGAGCCGAAAACCGACTTATTCTCATCCTTGCATGAAATGAGGACGACTCTAATAATTTAAACCTTGTCCAGGCGGCACCCTATAGGGCAAAAAAATAGCTTATCGGGAAAAGGGTTGGGGGTATTGGTGCTTCAACACATCGTAAAACCATTCTACTAAGATACAAAATCCAAAAGACGCTCTGGCAAAGATATCGCAAAGACATGAATATCTACTTTGGCAAAGAACCAGTGCGTAAATTGAGGGAATGACAAAAATGTTAGGGCTTTACTTTATTTGTCTGGGAAAGGGCTGCTAGAAAGAAAGAGAAAGAAAGAGATAGCGCACTTTGGTGAAAAGGAGAGAGAGATGGGGGAGGGAAGAAAGAGGAAGAGAAAACGAGATGAAGAATACCACCAAAGCGCAATTGAACAAATGGTATAAGATAAGAAAAAAAATATCATGCCATCAACAAGCACCTTCCCTAGTCACGACTTCATAAACTATACAGACACAAGGCTACATGCAATGAAACAATGTGAGCGAGTTGCATTTCAACCCGGAAAAACAGGGTACGATGCGGAGTTGTGGTCCACAAATGACAAGGGACCACAACGAATATTGCATGATAATCCGACAATTGCAAAATTCAATATTTAAAAAATAAGCTAGGATTGAAAGTCATAGTCCACGGACGACAAGAGACCAAAACGAACAATGCTTGACCCTTCACAAAAATCCTCCGTCAAAATAAAATAAGAAACTGAACCATTCAACTTATGAACAATGTTTACTCTAATCCCAAGTCTCACAAAAATATGAACTTTGACCATTTTGCCCAACTTCAGTCAGAAACCTAAAAAAGAAACAGATGGACCAACCCATTTAAACACATCAACCAGGTTAGGATAAAAAGTCATAGAATATGATAGAAAGCCATAGGCCTAAAAAGTCATACAGACAAATAAACACATCAACCAGTCATTCAACTTATAAATAATATCTGGTTCTTCAGGGAATAAGCAATAAATATAGTACTAGATCACTCCTCCTGTTGTATCGTAGCCTCTCTCTTAAGGAAGAGCGGCGCACGAGAGAGAGAGAGAGAGAGAGAGAGAGAGAGAGAGAGAGAGAGAGAGAGAGAGAAAAAAAAAAAAAAAAAAAAAAAAAAGTGTGTCGAGTGAAATAAAAGTTGTTGAGCTGAGAGAAAAGCATGGTGATCGAACATCACGAGTTTTGTGTCTTCTGGTTCTGAAAGCCACAGTGATTTTTTTTATTTATTTGTTTCGGCACAGTGCAATTTGTTGTAGATGTCTCACCCCGTTAAAATTTGAATGATACAGAGAGAAGAGCATGACCCCTACGCAGGGATGAACCTCGCTCCACTACTCTCGAAATGTGTAAAATGAGGATGAATATTTTGCTATAAATGGAAAGATACACTGCCATGGTTTTTGTTTTTTATGCATGTCGGAAGAGTAGTGGAACGATGCATAGTGACACTCATAAATCGACATATAGTCCAAATAAATATAAAAAAGAAAGAAAAAAATAAAAGAGGGAAGAGGAGAAAAGCAACGCACATGGTAGCTATGCTTGTAGAGGTCCCCTGTATAGGCTTAAGAGTAGTGTTGGGTAGATAGTGAGGGTGGAATTGAGAGAATAATGTTAGCTTTAAAAAAAAAAAAAAACCTCGTATGGGGTCTCACTCTAGCACTCTCGATATGTGCAAAACGAGGATGAATCTTCCTCGAGAACATGCAAAGATACACCATCATGATTTTTGTCTTTTTTGTGTATTGAGAGTAGTGGAGAGAGGACCATGACCTCCCTCCACCACATAACACCACAAACATTGGGACACTTTCTATACCATGTGCATTCGAAAGAGTTCAACCTTATGAATGTATCAGGCCTATAAAGTATCCAGAAGTATATAGTCTGGGCGTCGCTCGAGTACTCGCCAAACGTGCTATGACCAAACGTTGCATATGGTGAATATGGAAGTTTGGTTGCCCTTTAGTCTCATGCGTTACATAATGGCCAAACGCTGAAAAGAAAGTGAAAAAGCAACGAGACGGAAGGTCGATGACCAACCATGAACTTGAAAAAAGCAAATAGAACACCCTTCAAAATCGACGCCACCACATCCACCTGCCGCGCCCTCAATTTTTTGGTAACGCATTCCCCACTTTCAACCCTCTTCGATTTCGGTCACCGTCCCAACTACCTTCCCGCTCATATGACGACCTGTCGGTCTAGAACAATCGTTCGTTCATACGTCGATTCTTTGAGATATAGTGCAGCCTACGGACTGTGAATTAGGGAATGCATTTAGACGTCGTTGGCTCAAGGCGCCTAACATTGTGTGCCTTATCGGATGAAGATAAACCATTCGCGTTCGCAACCACCA